CATCCTCTATCAATAGTCTGTGAGCATTATGTCCTTACTATTTTCATGTGTCCTGATCTGTCAACGTTCAAGTATGCATTTACAATCTGACTACTCCACCCTATAACAAATGAGTTTTACACCTTTCAGACGAAGATCAACTAGTTGATGGTCATTGGAGAACTCTAAGGACTTCACCATTATGCTAGCAAAGGAGACATATCCAAATCTTTCCTTCAAAAATATAATTGTATTAAAAGTTGAGAAATTCGAGGGGCTCCAACAGGAGCGCACCGAGGATTTAGCCCACAGGGCACAAGAGGCAGAAAAGGTGACTGCCATGCAACAAACCATTGACAAATTGACAGACCAACTCAATGTTGTCAATGCTGCTTTACAGGGCCTACTCCGAGGAGGTGGAAACCAAATCGGAGGTGCTGTGAACTCCGCTTCCGCGACAAAGAAGCTGAAAATTCCTGAGCCAAAGCCATACAGTGGAGCTAGGAATGCCAAGGAAGTGGAAAACTTCATCTTTGACGTCGAACAGTATTTCGATGCTGTTGGGGATCTGGAGGAAGCTAAGAAGGTAGCAACTGCTGCCATGTATCTTCAGGGTGATGCTAAACTCTGGTGGCGTGTGAAGTACGAAGCCATCAAGGCCGGTGAAGATGCTCTCGAGACATGGGCCGAACTGAAGGCAGCTATACGCCTGCAGTTCTTCCCCGAGAATGTTGAATATAATGCAAGGAGAAAACTACGAGAGCTCCGCCAGACAAAATCAGTGTGGGACTATGTGTGAGAATTCTCCGCACTCATGCTCAGCATACGCGACATGGGGGATAAGGACAAACTCTTCACCTTCATGGAAGGGTTGAAACCTTATGCCCGCGTGGAGCTACAGAGACAAAGGGTAGATTCCCTTCCCAAGGCCATCCAAGCAGCTGAATGCCTTGGGGACTATCAAATGGAAGCTCGAAGGGACAGGCCTCAGCCGCCTGCCCGAGCAGGGTTCAAAGGGGGCCAACCTAGCAGTGGTGGTCCTAGCAAAAATGGGGGAGATCGGAACTCAAACAATCTAGAGCTCCTTCCTCCGGCAGCAATAGTGGTGCGTCAAACAACAATGATCGGGCGAGAAAGCCTCCTTCAGGATGCCGTCATTGTAGCGGTCCACATTAGAACAATGAGTGCCCACATGCACAGATGAATGCCCATCAGGCTATTGATGATGGGACTGATGACGACTCAGACGATGCGGACCAGACTGAACCAGTAGGTGCCTTCAATGCAATTGTGGGTTCCATTTCTGAGGCACTAGCGGAGACCAGTGCTGGTATTCGTAAGAAGAAGGATTCATGTCCCGTCACCAGGAAAGGGAAAAAGAAGGCGAATGAAGAGACTCCTCTTAAACAAGAGAGGAAGGTGAATGGCAAGCCCATTCGGGCTATGATAGACACGGGTGCTACCCACAACTACTTAGCCTCGACTCAGGTGAAGCGCCTTGGACTAGTTGTAGGGAAAGGTAAAGGTAGCGTCAAGGCTATCAACTCACCTCCCTAGCCAGTGGGTGGAATAGCTAAAGAAGTACCGGTGAAGCTTGGGCCTTACGAAGGAAAATTCAACCTTCGAGTGGTGATCATAGATGACTTCGAGTTGATTGTTGGGCTGGAATTCCTAAGGCAAACCAACACCATGCCTGTACCATTTGCAGACATGCTACTGATGATGGGTACCAATAGGGCCAAGCCCTGCATTATCCCGTGCCTGCCCATGAAGACGGCCGTTGAGAACATCTCGGCCTTGCAGTTGAAGAAGGGGTTCAAAAGGAATGAACCTACGTTCCTGGCAACCCTCTGCACTGAAGATATAGAACGCTCCTCGGGTCCTATTCCTGAACCCGTGAAGGAGTTACTACTGGAGTTTGAAGATGTCATGCCACAAGACATGCCAAAGCGGCTCCCGCCTAGGCGCACTGTGGACCATGAAATTGAGTTGGTGCCGGGCGCGAAGCCACCTGCCCGGGCGCCTTACAGAATGTCACAACCCGAACTCACCGAGCTTCGGAGACAATTGACGGAAATGCTAGATACAGGGATCATTGTACCCTCCAAGTCCCCATATGGGTCCCCTGTTCTATTCCAAAAGAAACATGATGGCAGCCTGCGACTCTGTGTGGATTATCGAGCTCTAAACAAAATCACCGTGAAGAACAAGTACCCTATTCCCCTAATGGCAGACTTGTTTGATAGACTGGGTGGTGCTACGGTGTTCACCAAGATAGATCTGAAGACAGGTTATTGGCAAGTTCGGATTGCAGAGGGTGATGAACACAAGACGACCTGTGTGACAAGATATGGGTCGTACGACTTCCTGGTCATGCCGTTCGGCTTGACCAACGCCCCTGCAACGTTTTGCACTCTCATGAACCAAGTCTTCCGAGAGTACATCGACGAATTTGTGGTGGTCTACTTAGATGACATTGTGGTATATAGCCAGACATAGGAAGAACACCTAGTACACTTGCGGAAGGTTCTAGCTCGGTTGCGGGAGCATGAACTATATGCAAAGTTATCCAAGTGCTCCTTTGCTCAGAAGCAAATTGATTTCCTCGGACATGTCATCAAGGAAGGACGCATCAAGATGGACCAACAGAAAATCCAGGCCATCACAGATTGGCCGCCGCCTAAGGATGTCCACGCCTTGAGGGCGTTCCTTGGCCTATGCAACTTCTACCGGCGGTTTGTGAAGAACTACTCACTTATCGCAGTGCCATTGACAGAACTCCTCAAGAAGGTCACACCTTGGGATTGGGGACCAAGGAGAGCAGAGGCCTTCAACGCATTAAAAGCGGCTATGTCTAGTAGCCCCGTCTTGGCCCTTCCTGATTTGGCCAAGCCGTTCGAGGTACAAACGGATGCTTCTGACTATGCCCTCGGCGGAGTCTTGCTACAAGAAGGGCACCCTGTAGCGTACGAGAGTCGGAAGCTGAAGGATGCAGAGCGGCGCTATGCCGCCCATGAGAAAGAATTATTGGCTGTCGTCCACTGCTTGCGCCTTTGGAGGCACTATCTATTGGGAACCCCGTTCGTGGTCAAGACAGACAACACAGCTGTTAGCTATTTCATGACCCAGCCGAAGCTGAACGGTCGACAGGCTAGGTGGCAGGAACTCCTAGCTGAATTCCACTTCAACTTGGAGTATCGCAATGGAAAGACCAATCATGTTGCTGATGCGCTCAG